TGAATTGCTTAACGTCTCCAAACCTTGTTTCTTCTGGGATTTTCAGCTTAGGCAGGCCAGTAGTAGTGGTCAAAGTGGGTGAGAGGCCAGGGAGTAGTGGGGCTCATCTAGGGGGAATTAAGTTCAAAGCAGAAAAATAACATTGTGAATGCAAAAAGCAAGAACAGAGTTGAAAATCTGAGCTACAACCACAGAGACCCAACAGCCAGGTAGAAGCAGAAATTAAGTAGGGAGCAAAGAGTGAGAGTAGGGCAAAGCAAGAGGTGCCAGGAGTTTCCCAGGAAGCCAAGGCTATCCTCTCATGCTTTGTTTTATCAGCTACTAAGTGCTTTCTGACCTGAATCCCAGTTGCCGTAGTTTAAAGGAAAAATTCCAAACTGAAGGCCCAACCGGCCAAATTCAGCCCACAAGCCAGAGGTAATAATAAAAAATTATTGGCTAACATATATTGAGCACTTACTACACATGAGGCATATTCTAAATATTTTATACATATCAGCTCATTGACACCACTCAGCAATCCTCTGACATGGATACCACTAGTATCCTCAGTTTACAAATTGGAGAATGGGATTAACAGCCAGTTAAGTCATAGTGTCAGTCTTCAAACCTAGGTAGACTGGTTCCAGAGTCTCTACACTTAATCACCATCCTATAATAGGGACCATATCCTCAATGAGATCCCCGAACACACTCGGGAGATTGGGTGGCAGAACGAAGGCATCCTCTGGGCTGGTGAAGCAGCAGACATGTAAAATAATCTTCCACCCTTTGACTGCCCCCTTTACGCATCTCATGGTCCTGCTTTCACATCATTTTCTCAAGCATCTTTTCATCGCTGTCTTAAATATCACCATATTATTATGTTAACAGGTATCACTGTTAACAGAAATTCTCTGAGAATGCTGTGCTTTCATTGGCAAACATATATTTTTGCCCACCCTGTGTTTTTAAAACATTGGAAGTAGTTGCCAATGTTTTAAACTTGGAAGATTTCACATAGAAATCCCAAATTTTGGCTTTTATGAGGAAGTTGGAGACCTGGGAAAGTTTGGGATAGTGTTTCTGCTGACCACTGTCAGGACACCTGATGGAGCAGGTGCTCCTCTCCAGAGCCCTGCAGTCCCCACTCATCTCTGCTGCATCGTTCATTTACATCATTTTCCGTTCCTCTGTAGATCTTTGTGATCTCCAGCTTAAAGATCTCAGGTGGGCTGGAAGCATCAAGGATGGCAGAGTGGTGCCAGAGACATACAGAGAGCCGTGCAGAAAACAACTGAATTTAAAATGAAAGCAGTGTTACTTAAGCAATTGAAACTAAATCACCCAGCTATGTACATCCACTTGTATGATTTTAGAGCTTTGAATATTACAAATAATTGCTAGTATCTGTTTAAGTCTTTCTGGTGACAGAGAATGCTATGCATTCACTAAACAGGTTGACTTTATGCTAGTGCACATAGTGACAGCTGTTGGCCAGTCCCCTGGCACCTAGGAAGAGTCTTGAGACTGTTTTGCATGTCATTACCAAACCTCCCAGATATAATTATCCTCCTTCTTCCCCTTCCGTGGACTCTTGGATTCCAGGTGTTAAGGATGATGGTGTTACAAGATAGGAAAAGTTTGATCCTGGAGTCATTACCCCGAGAGCAGCCATTTGGCAAGGACCATCTGCACTGGAGAAATAACCTTTTATTTTGTTGAGCACTTTACATATAAAAACACAATGACTCCTCACAGCTATCTTGTAAATTCTCTGTTATTGCATTTTACAGATGAGGAAACTGAGGCATGGAGCAACTAGTAACTTGCCCAAGGTCGTGGAACACAGTGGAAGCAGCCTCAAGAACAGATTCAGTAATCTGACGTATCTGTGGAGTGCGTACTCAGTATCTGAGTGGAGGCACTGTGATGGGGAGGAAGGTCAACCACTGTGAAATGTGCTAGAAGTAAGCAAGGATGGGGACAAAGAGGAGGGAGGGGAGCACTTCATGCAGGGCACACTTCCCACGGGAGACAACAGTCCGCTTGGCTCCCAAGGGTTACTTAAGGTTTTGCCAGCATCAGAACAATCCTAGAAGCTCTTTAGGCATGTCCTATTTCTCCTCAAGTACATGTGCCCAAACCTCTTTCCCCTCTGACTTATATGAGCTTTTTCTTCATCCAGGGAAATGATCATCCTCACTTAGTTATTTTAGGAACAGGAGCAGAGAACAATTAAAAAATTATCAATTACTGTAAATAAACTTGACAGTCAATATCCCTCATGATACCACAAACCCATGCAGCTGTTGACTCACTAACAGGTGAATAATTCTCTAGGATCAATGGTGACAATAATTCTTTGCTAAATTTAGAACCATCAAAACAAGTATACAAATACATGGGGTCAAAACAATTCTTCATATCCACAAGGGAAATTTTCATCAAGTTAATGTGCCATGATAAAGCAAAAACAAGTGGGAAAAAAAATCCACTTCTCCTTGAAATGTACTGTTTCTTTCCTGTAAAGGAGTCTAGAATTATTTTCTTTGTTCCTGAACTTTATGATATTCTGGGCAGCAATGACATTAGCTGAGAAAAATGATGGCGAGTCAGCATCCATCCAGAGGCACTCCTTTTAGGACATTTGTGAGAGTTCAATAATCGGTAGCATCCCACGACTTCAGCTTGGTGATTGCAACAGTTATTTGTATTCCTTTGTTTTTGCTGTTTTCCTTGTGTTACAGGTCATCGTGGCATTTTGGATATTCTCTACCTGGAATGTATACTGTTTTGAATTTTTTTTTTTGACAGTGGGTTTTACAGTAAGCTGAAATTTTATATGGGCTTCTACAGTCAAATACTTACTACCACACATATTTATGTGCATACATGCATGGAGTTGTGCTCTCTGAAGTCCAGGGAGACCTGAGTTCTAATCCTGTCTGTCTGGCTTTGGCCTTGGGCAAACTCCTTTACCTCTCTGTGCCTCCTTTTCCTGATTTTTTAGGTGAAATTAATAAGAGAAGCTTCCTCATAAGATAGAATAGTATAAATGAATGGAAGGATAGGCTCATGGAAGGAATATAGATAGGGCTGAGTTGAATAAAGAGAAAGGAAAGGCATCCAGAGTTAGGTTGTGAGAACCGAGAAGGCTCAAGGCTCATTTTCTTCCTGATAACCTTGAATAATTTCCTCTCGCCTGCAAAATAAATATTGATATCTAAAATCCTTAGCTGGACTTGAACACCCTGTATATTCTTACACTGATATACTTTTCCAGCTTTCTCTTCCTATAGTAGCCCAGGCTTAGATTCAAAGTATTTGGGTTCTATCCCCAAGTTTGCTATTTATTAGCTTTGTGATTTGAACAGGTTACTGAACCTCTCTGGTTTTCTCAACTGAATAATGTAAATGATGATTATCTCATAGGTAATGGTGAGGGCAGAATAAAACCTTTAGCTTGGAATCCCACACATCATAGGTACCCAGTAAAATATTCTCCCTCTTCTTGGCTTGTATGAAAAGTCCTCTATAAAGTGTAAGGCATTTGGAAGAGCTGTGTATCATCATCATTCTGACAGAGCAGCTGGCCAGAGCAGCATTGTGTTTATGCCGCTTCATAGACACTGTATAAATACATAAATGCCTATATGGAATGCAGATAGATTTCACTTCCTAGTGTCATCAAGTTTCTTAAAGTTGGCAGCCCTGAGTGAAAAACTATTCCAGTGGGATACACGTGAGAACAGTGTCATTACAAAGCTTAATTATGACAAAAGTATGAACTGAGAAGATTAAGAACTCCATGCAGCAGAACATTGCAAACTAGCCAGAAAGTATAGCAGGGGAAAAAGTAAAAAAAAGAAAAATCTGCATAGCACAGGTTTTCCATGGGCTTTTCCACTTGGGAGAGCACAGTGACTTCTCCCTGGAGAGCTCTTCTACAGACAGCACTTCGGTCTTGGCCTGCATGCCCCTTCATCTCTGCCAAGATTTCCCTCTCATGAACTCCTTGGATAAAATCAACTATCACTTCTTCTTGGACCCAGTAAACACAGTTCTCCACGATTTTTTAGAAAGCAGCTTTGCCCGCCATTCAGAGCAGCTGCTGCCCAATCCCATTATATTTATGAGTGTTGGTCAGACTTGGTTTAGTAGCTACAGACATCTGTATTTCAAGTTCTTTTAACATCCCTTCGGTTCAGTTCAAATGACCTATGAAAAGTACTGACTGATCCCTTAATGGGACAGTCAATTCACTTTTTCATTCCAACACCAAAAAAGTTTTCCATTTTGGTATTTATAAAAATTACTGTGATAAATCATGTTGAGTCCCAGTTCCATTTCAGTTTCTATTAGACCCTGTGCCAAATCTGGTCAGACCCGCATTCAATCTGCTTTCACATAATAGAAATCTTGTGCATCTGAGGAAGGAAAGTTGCCTTTATTTATCTGGTGGTAAAAAAAAGAATTGCACCTTCTCACACCTGTGTCAGAGGAAGTGGGTCCTCTTACAGATCCTCCAAAACCTCTGTCTGAAGGTGGTTTATGTCCCTTCTGTTAAGTGACAAAACAAAAGAAATACAATGTCTTCGGAAGTTGTGGGACAACTACTTTTGAATACTTATATTTTTAGGCCACTTAAAATCATGTTTTTTTAAAAAAATAATAATGGGCTAAAGATATATACCACTTATTAAGTCCATACTAGGTGCAAATAATGTGTTTGGTACTTTTGAGATTTATCTTATTTAATCTTCCCAGCTTTATGAGGTGATGTTACAGATATTAAGAAATTTCTCCAAAACCATGCACATGTCAAATGGTGGAGCTGGTTTTGAATCCAGGTCTAGTAGATTTCAAAGCCCAAATTATTTTATTTTAGCCAACTCTCTCTAACTAGACAAACTTGTGAGTAGAATCAGCTTTGCACTGGAAACTTTTATATCAATCATTTGTTTTTTGCATGACTCTATTTGATTCTAAAATAACTTGGTAAGTTATGGTGAATTGGAAAGAAGACAAACCTGGTTTTTATTCCAGGCTTTGTAACTTGCTATTTGTGTGATCTCAATCAAGTGTCTTAGATGCTTGAATCCTCAATTTTCCTATCTGTAAAGTGGGAATAATAGTATCTGTATTGCAGAGTTGTTGGAAATTGATAAAGAATATATGCAGCTCTTTCAGCAGAAGATCTGCTGAGTTGTTCAGTAAAAGGCGGCCATACTTTTATACTGAGTGCATATTTACTTGGTGATACTGAAAACTCGAATTGATGCTAATGTTTTGAACCAGAAAATTAGGCTGTCTCCTTCATAAAGGATCTGAACAAAGAAATGGCTGAGAAATGGTTTCTTTGTACACATAACTACTAGCAATTGTAGTAGATGTTGGAGAATTACTAATGCAACCTGCAAGGCAAATAGGTGTGTGAAAGGTCAAAATAACAAATGCATCCTTTTTCTTTCTCAAGTGTAAAATGCTTAGGGTAAAAACAAATTTGTAGTTTTCCACTGAGCCTTTTTACTCATTCTTTTAAAAAAAGAAGTCATGCCATGAATTTAACAGGTTCTAAGCTATAAATTAGAGTAATTTTTAAAGTAGTAGGCCAAATTATATGCATGCTACCTAGTAGCATTTTTCTGAAAACACTAATATTGCTCTAAGTTTTGTCAAAATGGGCAATTTCTGAAAAAGCAGTAAAGAAATCTTACAAGCGTTTTATTATTACATTTGATAGTCCTCTGGCCAGAGACTTTCAAATTGAGATTATTCTGGGTAATAAGAATAAGTGAAAGCAAACAAACATCATTCTATAAATGGCTTCTCTTTCTCTCTTGTTTTTGGGGAGCAGCAAATATGCTGAAGACACTGAAAATGTCAACTGTGGGCTTTCATCACAGTGAAAATCAGTGGGCACTCTGCCTAATGAAAATCATGGCATCGAGCTACATGAAATCAAAGACTCATCCTGAATTTTAGGAGATGTCACCCTATGAGTCCATTTCCCTATATTGGTGTATAATAGCACCATGAGAGATGGAGGTAGGTATTTCCAGGGGATTTGACCATTCCAACTCTCGCACAAAGGTCTAGAATGGATGTTCACCATTGCCCTCCTTTAAGTTTTCTGAGACAACATGTGTTCACTGTCTCAATGGGTAACAGTCTTTCTCTGTCTCTTCCACACATACATGCACACACACAATTCTCAAACTGAGTGGACTGAAATTTGCATATGAATTCAGACTCAAAGGCATCCAGCAAGTTATCCAAAGTTACACAGCATTTAAGATATAACCAGAAATCAAACCAAGTCTTTAGTCCATCAACCTATCACTTCCTCTTACATGAGAACCTGAAAAGAGAGGTAGTTTTGATAAGAGGAGAAGCGAGAGGAGCATGTGAACTGGATCCTTAAGTAGGTGCCGGGAAGAGAAAAGGACAAGAAGGCGAGACTAGTCCAGTTTTGTCCCAGTTCATCCAGAGCAGCTCAGCTTCTCGCAGATGAGATTAAGATGTACTATCTACAGAGGCCAGTAAACTAGGAGGAGCCCATAGGGATGAGCAGATTCTACCCTGTGCCTTGGTGAGACTGAAGAAACTAGGACAGTTGCCCTCTGGGTGTTTCTCACCTCTGATAATAGTACCCATTTCTCAGGATTATTGTGAGGGTTAATTGATCCACATTCAGTGCTTAGAGCAGGGCCTGGCATGGGAAAAAATTACTAAGTTAGGGGCAATAATAATTGCTTTATAAAAGAATGTTCCTTCCTTTCCATTATAGGAGTACACATGTGCATTGTTGCAGATTTGGAAAGTATTTTATTTCATAAACTCTTAAATAGTGCTTAATAACATGTGCTTCATAAATATAAACTCATTTCTAAATAAGGAAGTATTATTACATCTTCATTTACAGAGAGGTCATAAAGTTTGTTTAAAGTCCCACAGTTGGTGAAAGAACTGGTTTCAATGCCAAGAAAAGCCATGAGTCAAACTATTACCTATGTTATCTCTCAAATAGAGAAAAGAACCCCAAATATTCATAATACCACACCCAGACATTTTAACTTTGTTCTACATTTGTTTACTTTCTTCTTCCTCTACCATAGTTTGTTTTAATCCACGTCACTTTTAAAATTTGATTATTTTACACTGTCAGGATCATCATGACATGAGGGAACATCATGCCTTGGTCACCCCCAGCATCCCAGACATTATACCCAGTGCTCCGCGTGTGCTTTCCAGTTTGACCCTCACAACAACTCTGTCAGGTAGGTCTTATTTCCTCCACATTATTAATGAAGAAAAAAGGAAATTTTCTTTAAGAAAGTTCTGTTCTTATAGACTTCTCATTCAAAAATAACTATGCAGCAGAGATTAACAGCAATTTAGAAGCAAAAAGGAAGCTTAAAATGGCCCAGCCTGATTTTACAGATGAGCATGGAGAGAATGTATGGCTTTTTCAGTTTCATGCATCAGGTTAGGGATGGGGAAGACTAGAGTCCCAGATCTATTAATTTTGTTTGAATACTCTAAGACCACCCCATAGCTCCCTCCATCTCCATTTGCACAGTTTTAAATAAGAGCTTTTTTGTTACTGTGTTTTGAATAAGAGCTTTTTGCTGTTCATTTCCTCTAAGCAGCATAAGTGACAGAGAGTCAATGTTTCTGAGCTGATTGGTCCCTTAGCATCCTGCCTTGCGATGCATATGACTATTTGTCTGCAAGAGCTTCCACAATGCTGCTGATTCTCATGACTGCTTCTATCTCCATGAATCACCCAAGATACCAACATCCTTCTCTTGTGGGACCTACGTTATATGCATAGGAAAGTTAATTTTGGGATGAACAAATTGGATTTGGGAGGACATATCTGATCCATTTTAAGTTAAGAAGGACTTCAACAAAATAAAGAAAATACAGTGTAGTTGAGCAGAGATAATGTGGGGAAACATGGTTAGAATTTTGTCAGGTATAATACAACAGAGAATCAGACTATGGGCATCTGACTGATTTGGTTGAAAGTATATAAAATACATTTTTAAAATAATATGTATAGTGTCACTGAAAATAGGAATGAGCAGAAATCTAATAAGAATAACAACAATAAATCTCATTTACATTTAGGGCTTATTATGTGCTAGGCCTTGTGCTAAAATACTTTCTCTGTTACCTCTTTTCACTTTTATAACTACCCTAGCTATAATCACTACCCTGATGAGAAAGATGAGAGTTTATGTAACTTTCAGCTTATGTAACTTACAAGCACTTACAACTCATGAATGACAGCACTGGGAGCCATATTTTTTTTAATAGGGACATTTACAAGCATACCTCAGAGATGCTGCAGGTTTGGTTCTAGATCACCACAATAAAGCTAATCACAGAATTTTTTGGTTTCCCAGTGCACATAAAAGTTATGTTTACACCATGCTGTAGTTTGTGAAGTGTGTAATAGCAACATGTCTAAAAAATATAATACTTTCATTAAAAATATTTTATTGCTAAAAATGCTCACCATCATCTAAGCCTTCAGCAAGTCACAGTCTTTTCACTGGTGGAGGGTCTTACCTCCATGTTGATGGCTGCTGACTGATCAGAGTGGTGGTTGCTGAAGGTTGGAGCAGCTGTGGCAATTTCTTAAAATAAGACAACAATGAAGTTTGCCATGTCAGTTGACTCTTCTTTTCAAGAACAATTTCTCTGGAGCATGCAATATTCTTTGGTAGCATTTTACCAACAGTAGAACGTCTTTCAGAGTTGGAGTCAATCCTCTCAAACCCTGCTGCTGCTTTATCAACTAAGGTTATGTAATATTCTAAATCCTCTGTTGTCATTTCAGCAATCTTTATAGCATCTTCACCAACAGTAGATTCCATCTCAAGAAACCACTTTCTTTGCTCGTCCATAAGAAGCAACTCCTCATCTGTGAAAGTTTTATTATGAGGTTGAAGCAATTCAGTCAAATCTTCAGGTTCCACTACTAATTCTGGTTCTCTTGCTATTTCCACCACATCTGTGGCTACTTCTTCTGCTGAAGTCTTGAGCCACTCAAAGTCATCCAAAAGCATAGCAATCAACTTCTTCCAACCCCCGTTAATGTTGATATTTTGATCTTTTTCATGATCACGAATGTTCTTAATGGCTTCTAGAATGGCGAATCCTTTCCAAAAGGTTTTCAATTGACTTTGCCCAGACCCATCAGAGAAATCATTATTTATTGCAGCTATAGCTATATGAAATGTATTTCTTAAATAATAAGACTTGAAAGTGAAAATAACTCCTTAATCTATGGGCTGCAGAATGGATGTTGTGTTAGGAGGCATGAAAACAACATTTAATCTCATTGTACATTTCCATCAGAGCTCTTTAGTGACCAGGTGCATTTCAAATGTGCAGTAATATTTTGAAAGCAATCTTTTTTCCTTAATGGTAGATTTCAATAGTGGGCTTGAGATAGTCGGTAAACCATGTTGTAAACAGATGCACTGTCATCTGTTTATAGAGCGCAGGCTGAGTAGATTCAGCGTAAGTCTTTAGGGCCCTGGTAGATAACCACTGGCTTCAACTTAAAGTCACCAGCTGCCTTAACCTCTAGCAAGAGGGTCAGCCTGTCCTTTGAAGCTTTGAAGCCAGGCATTGACTTCTTCTCTCTAGTTATGAAAGTCCTAGATGGCATCTTCTTCCAATAGAAGGCTGTTTCATCTGCACTGAAAATCTGTTGTTTAGTGTGTCCACCTTTATTAAATATCTCAGCTAGATCTTCTGGGTAACGTGCAGCAACCTCTAAATTAGCAATTGCTGCTTCCAGTTGCACTTTTATGTTATAGAGACAGCTTCTTTCCTTAACCCTCCTGAGCCAACCTCTGCTGGCTTCAGACTTTTCTCCTGCTGTTTCCTCACCTCTCTCAGCGTTCATAAAATTGAATGGAGTTAGGATCTTGCTCTAGATTAGGCTTTGGCTTAAGGGATGTTGTAGATAGTTTGATCATCTGTCCAGACCACTACAACTTTCTCTATATTAGCAATAAGGCTATCTCACTTTCTCATCATTTTGTTCATCGCAAGAGGTCTAGCTTTCATCCTGCCTTGGCTTTCAACATGCCTTTCTCACTAAGCTTAATCATTTCCAGCTTTTGCTTTAAAGTGAGAGATGTGCAACTCTTCGTTTCACCTTAACACTTAGAGGCCATGGTAGGATTTTTAATTGCCCTAATTTCAATATTGTTTCATCTCAGAGAATAGGGAGGCCCAGGAAAGGGAAAGAAATAGGGGAACAACTGGTTGGTGGAGAAATCAGAACACACACATTTTTTAAGGTCACCATTTTATATGAGCATGGTTCATAGCACCCCAAAACAGTTACAACAGTAACATCAAAGAGCACTGATCACAGGTCACCATAACAAAAAAAATTTAAAATCTTGTGAGAATTACCAAAATGTGACACAGAAATAAGAAGTGAGCAAATGGTTTTGGAAAAAATGGCACTGATAGACTTGCTGTAGGTTTTTCACAGATCTTCAATTTGTAAAAAATGCAATATCTGCAAAGCACAATAGAGCAAAGTGCAATGGAATGAGGTATACATATATTTCCCCCTGGAATATAAGTTCCATGAGAGTAGGAATTTTTCATTCCTGTTTTGTTTACTGTAGTGTCCTTGAACATAGTGCCTGGCATTGATGCAAAAGTAAGAAGCCTTTAGAGTCTGGATTCTGTCACTCAACAGATCTTAACAGGGCTAAGCCATGTTGTTTGTTTGCTCCATAGAGCCAAGAATAATGTAGTTGCCTTTTTTTTTTTTGGCCAAAACTATTAAGTACTCCTACTGGCTACTGGTAGCAACAACTTGAGGGAAGAGATAAAACTCTTAACTGGGATTAATTATCTGGACAGACCCAAACATCCAAACATCCAGAGAAGCTGTAAGTCTATCATCCGAAGCCCATGTTAATGAGGTGAACAGAATGTGTTGGAGTGATGTCAGTGGGAGCAGAGGTCAGCTGCCATTACATAATGGAGGAGCCATAGCAGTGGCTAGATACATTTGCAATATGTAGTTTTAGAGAATTACAACCCAGTACAGATTGCTTCTATGGAGATAATAAGGACAATGGGAAAAGCATCTCTTTTACTCACTCTCTTCTTCCAGAATTTAAGATAATAATGATTGCATGCAAAGCATTTTGAAGGGCTACTTACTGTCATTCTGCCAAATGGGATTCCTTGACTCCTTTGTCTCATCTAAGTGAACAAGATCGTGACCTGCAGTGGAAACTGTGATTGAATGTTTCGTGAGTCAGCCAGGCTCTTGGACCTCGACCTTCTATAGAAAACTCTCTGGAAATTTTCCATGGAAACTGTAGCTAGTATAAGAGGGAAAGGAACTGGCACAGTAGTTAGTAAGAGTTTGAGTCCAGAGAAAGAGAAAGTACACTATGGGTGTGACAGACTAGGCATGACCTTTGGACAATGAGGGGAGGATGGCATTTGGCTCTGAATGCTTAAGGTTGCATGAGCTTATTTCTTGACTGTAGAATTCCATGACTCCTATAGTGAGATAACATCAAAATTTATACATAAGTGGCTCATTATTGTCTTTTAGCATACAATTGCAGTAGCAACAAAAAAGATCATTGGCACTTTGAATTTTTTCTTTGTGCAACACCACGTGTTGTAGTGATAAGGACATGGGTTTTAGAGACAGACAGACTTGGGTTCAAATCTAGCTCTAAAATTAATTTCCTGTGTAAACTTCAGCAAGTAGCTTCAATTAGTTCAATTTCCTCAGCTGCAGTTTGAAAGCTGTAATACTAGTACCAGGCACATACTGACAGTATGTAAATATAGTGTATGTCCTTTGAAAACTCTTTTAAGAATGAGAGAAAAATATATGTACAGACACTATATAAATAGCAATTATATATATGTACACACATGTACATTCTTTGTTTTTACCTACTATATAAAAGAAACATTAAGGGTAAAAAATGTGTCATTTCCATAAATAATAGTGGTAAATTCAGAAGACTCATGTTTAAAATAAAGTACTGGACAAAGAACATTGACGAGAAAGTAAAAAAAATATAAATGCACAACGTATTTCTAAAAAAATTCCTCAACCTTACTTATTGCCTAGGAGACGCAACATAAGAAATTTTTTTTTATTTTATCAAATACATGGGAAAATATAATTTGATAATGTATTACAATAAAGATAATATAGAAAAATGGCAGTATAAATTATTCAGATTTTATTTGAAATAAA